ACTAGTAAGGCACTTGTTACTACTAGTAAGGCACTTGTTACTACTAGGGGCAAGAAGCCACTAGGACTGTGTTCCAACCGCAAAAGCCACCACGATGGTCCACGACGTCGCCATTCCTTCGCTTCCTGCAGCTCGAGTCCATGGGCACCAAGGGGGGCACCCCACTCTTTGAGGCGAGAAACGAGACACGGAGGTAACGGAGGAAGAACCGGAGGCATACTGTTTGGTACTGTTTTCTTGGGTGAAACAACGTTGAGAAAGCCTTGAGAACTGAAGTTTGTTGTTTTATTTTTAATAGCCTGCTCAGACCGTGGCCCCGTCTCCTTACTTAAGTGGAGACTACCTACTTCATTATGAAGGATGACGCTACTAGCTAAGCTACTGGACGGAGGGTAGCGTTCGCACTATTCATTTGGTTCCTAGATCTTTCGCTGCGACACATCAGATTGCTCTTGAGAGGTTCCTATCAAGACATATAGACTGGCACAGAGGTTTTAATTCAACATTGAAAAAGCGTTTTTGGAGAAGAGGTTGGAAAGGATTCACAAACATGGGGTTTAAGAATAAACATGCTGTTTAAAGATGTTTAAACCGGTTTTGCTTCGCTTTGCGAGCGAGGCGATCATCTCGGATTGCGGCGAGTTGGAGTCCGAAGCCTTGAGAACGAGAAAGCGAAAGCTGGACGAGGCGAAAAAGCTGGGACAGTTCCGTTCGTAGCGATGCCCTTGTTACTAGTAGCAAGGACGCTACTAGGAGCTCCTGGCATTACTACTAGGAGCAAATAGCTACTAGTAGCGTCCTTGCTCCTAGTAGCGATCTTGTTACTAGTAGCTTCTTGTTACTAGTAGTAAGGCCAGGAGCTACTAGTAGCGTCCTGGCTCCTAGTAGAAATGCCCTTTGTTACTAGTAGCTTCTCCAATTAAGTAAGGAACTGAGGTAGCTACTACTAGTAGCAGTTGATAAACCTAACTACCTACCTACTACGTAGCGTGAGGCTATTGTTTCTATGCGTAAAAGGAAAAATACAGGAATTGACACCATTAAATGGATTTGAATCGTAATGTAGTGTGATTGAGTTCGATTGGTGTGGAACATGGTAACTCTTCAGCCTCCTGCAGATTGGAATGCCCTTTGCTCCTGGTAGCGATGCCCTTTGCTCCTAGTAGCTTCTTTTTACTACGTCCTTTTTTCCTAGTAGCGTCCTTTGCTACTAGTAGGTAGTAGTAGTAGTAGTAGTAGTAGTAGTAGTAGTAGTAGTAGTAGTAAGGCCAGGATTTCTGCTTGGCAGGTGCCTTTGCCACCTGGCTGGAAGAAGAAGGAGTCTCGCTCCAAGGTGCCTCACTTCGCTCAGCGTCCTTGAGTTTCGCTTAGGCTAAGCGGATGGCAGATTGTCGCAACTGTTCAAACCGAGCATTTGTCGTAGATGGTGCTCAATGCTATTTGCAAGTTCGCTTTTCCTTGTAAACAGTTTTTCCTAGAACAAAACAGGAGAGCACTTGTCGTATTCTGCAGCCGCGGGGCCCGAGCTTTCGTGTGGCGCCGCCTTTGAAGAGGCTAGGGGGGGACGGCAGAAGCCTCGGCCCCTTCGCTGTGAGACTTCAAGTGCGATGGCCCGAACGTAGCGTCCGATCGCTCCTAGTAACGATGCCAGGAGCCCCGAACGTAGCGTTCTTGTTACTAATAGCGATGGCTTGCAACCTAAGGGCCTCCAACCTAATAGCGATGGCCTCCATAATTGTTCCACGTTGGAGGCCATTGCTAGTCGGTTGGGGTCCATGCTCTTAGGTTGGAGGCCATCGCTATTAGGTTGGAGGCTGTCGCTAGGTGAAAACGCAAAACTACACCACTGAGACACCGCGGTTTTACGCTAAACCACTGTGACACCTCTGGTTTCGACCGGTGGCGCCAGAGGCGCAGCCGCAGCAATGGCCTCACCAGTGGCCTCATTGAAGCAGCCGCTCCTACCGAGGCGCCATCTCTCATCTCTCAGGTCTAAGAGGTCTAAACACAATTAGGTTGGAGAAAGTGGCAAAAGGAATCTAATAGCAATGGCCTCCAACCTACTAGCAATTGCCTCCAACCTAATAGCAAACCTGCTTGGGTGAAAAGCTTGTGTCTTAGTAGCATCAAATGCATCCAATGTTGGAGTGAATGTGAGAAATTGCAAGGACACCTCACTCTGTTTTTTGGAAGTCTTTGGGACATTTTGAGGATCACACGTCTTTCTACGGACTGGCTAACTCTTTGTCACAAGAGGTTTCCAGATTTTAGTCGAACAAGCTGAACAAATCATTCCGAAAGGCACAACAAAGACGATGTGAAAGTCTGAACCCGAGACTGCACCGATGGTGAAGTGATGTCAACTGTCGATGGAGGTTCTGCAAGGATCGCCTCCTCGTAGAGGACTAGTAACAAGTGCCACGCTAGTAGTAACAAGTGCCTTACTGGTAGCAACAAGAACTAGAAACTTGATGTTTTAATGGCGGAGATAGGCAGATCTTTTGCTCGCCACCAACCAGATCTTTCTCTTCGAACGGCTGTTGGTGCTTCATGTGCCAAGGACACACCTAAAGCACTCGAAACAGCCATTGCCTTTGCGGTGTTTATTGCCGTGAGAAGCTTCCACCCAGTGGCAACCTGAGTGCATTGTCTTTGCCCATGCGAAGTTGCATTGAGTACCGCACTGTTGCAGCACTCGTGCTAAGATCATTATTGACATCTCGAAGACAGATGGCAAGCTTCCTTATGGGAAGGTGCCTGACCTATTTATTCTGAAATGCTTTGGTTTGATCATTTGCTTTTTGATGCTTTTTGAGTGCTTGGAGGCAACTCCCTGCGTGGTGAATTCAGCGGTTGACATCGCTATTGGCACTGCCGCCACTGTTTTTGACGGAGCGCCCCGGCCGCCCTGGCCCAATGCAACGTGCAGAGCGACATCTTTTGCATCGTCGGCGTGTCGCATGGCTGAGCTGATTCCATGCAGACACTATACATCAAGTGGGACATCAAGCAAATATCATGCTACACATCGACATGATGCACATCTCCTGAAGCAAGCGGCAAGTGTCATAAAGCCATCAGGCCTATGATACAAGTTTCTGACAAACAATTCCCCAATTTCCAACAAGTCCCTTTCTGAATTTCTTGACTTTCCCTTCTACTCAGAATGAAGCTACTAGTAGCTCTGTGGGACTACCGAGCCGGTCTGACGATTGGTTTTGCCATGGCGCCCAGTGCCGAATGCGCTGTGTTGGAGTTTGAGGTGCAAAATCTCCGTGAGGAGCTATGTCATGGTTCTGCAAGTCGCAGGATGTCATGTCGCTTCTGGAATTACGCTAGTTGGAAACGGTTCGACCTCTTCCTTTTCTGTTTCTTTAGAACCTTTGGCATGCAACGTGTTGGTGAGGAGCTCCGGAGCTATGACCAGCAGTTACCATGTTGGACAGCCGAGCTGGTCGCCGCTGAAGCCTATGCCGAACAGCTGGAAGATGAAGCGAAGATGGCGCACGCTGAGCACGCTGAGCACACCCGAAAGCTCACCGAGATCAATCCATTGTCACCTGCAAGTAGTGAAGGGGACCGAGATCATGCTGCAGCAGTTGAGCATTACGCTCAGATGGGCATTGATCATCGGCATTTCGATGATCCTTTAATTCCTTTTGCCGGGCTTTCGGATGAGGAGATCCACAAACGCCACGTCGAGTCCATGATGCAAAAGGAGATTGCACGACGCGAGGTGTCCATCGCCCACCTGCGGCGACAGCACCTCTATGCAGCCAACGAGAGCATTGCCTCCAGCAAGCAGGATCGAGCCACGAGCCGAGAAGCCGCTCCGCTCCGCTGGGTGTACAGCTCAGTAGGCGCTAAGGCAAACGAAGGGAATGAAAAGGCCAGGAAACGAAAGGCCAGGAGCCACGTAGCGTCCTCTTGTTACTAGTAGCGATGCCCTTTGTTACTAGTAGCTTCTTGTTACTACTAGTAAGGCACTTGCTCCTAGTAGTAAGGCCAGGAGCCCCTAGTAGCGTCCTTGCTCCTAGTAAGGCCAGGAGCCCCGAACGTAGCGTCTAAAGGTCTAAAGGTTGGAAACCTGAGAAATCGGTCAGTAGAGACTCGCCATGCCCTGACGATTGCCGCTGCGGAGGAGGCGGAAGAGCTTCGCGAGGCCTTGGCCAAGGCAGAAAGAGAAGGCCGACAGCTCACTGAAGAAAGACAAGCGGCTGAAGAACAGGAACTCCCTTTGCGAGAGTGGGTGAAACATATCGAAGATCAAGTGCACGCAGCAAGGCCTCCGCATTGCGTCTATCGTGCACATGCCTTTTCAAAAGGGTAGTTAAGCAGGAAATAAAGTTAAAGAAGCAAGGAATGCAAGAAATCAAGAAACAGCGTTGGAGGCCGTCGCTAATATGGTTAAGTTGTCCTAAAATTCTAGGAACCAAATCACTAGTGCGAACGCTATCCTGTGTCCCAGGTAGTAGCTACTTAAGCTACTAGCGACTCCCTTGTTTCTACTAGCTACCTAGTTATCTCTACGGCCCACTTCCCCGGGCTAAAAGAAAGATGACTGACTTCTTTTTCTGAAGGCTTGAGAATGCTCGTCTTTCTGCGTCCTTGTCTTCAGCCTTGGCCTTCCGGGCTTCTTTGCTTCCAGATGAAGACGCCGCACCGGTAGGGCCTGAGTCCCACACTGACATCCAGCAAGTTCGATGGCTTCGAGACCACCAACAGCAATGTCTGTCTCGGAAGGCTCGACTCAAGGAGACTTGAAGACTTGAAGACCATGAGTTTTAACGCTACTAGGGCTCCTGGCCTTACTACTAGAAACAAGAAGCTACTAGGGGCTCCTGGCCATACTACTAGGAGCAAGGACGCTACTAGGAGCAAAGGGCATCGCTACTAGGAGCGATCGGACGCTACGGAACCTAGTAGCGATGGCCTCCAAGGTCAGTGAGTCACAGCTTGATTTTTAGACCCCTTGAATCAGGCCATTACTTTAATTAGATCCCATTTATATATTGTTTCTACTAGCTTCTTGTTCCTAATAGTAAGGCCCTTGCTCCGTTCGTAGCGATGCCCTTTGCTCCTAGTAGCTTCTGTTTTCCTCAACTGAGACTTGAGCAGAGAGATAGTCCAACTTGTTGGGTTGATTGGGAGAACTGCGAGATAGTCAAACGGAGTTCCCTTCACTGAGTTCACACCATCCGCTTGGTCATGGATAACATTTCTCAGTCCCTCTATATGAAAACGGCAAGTAATAAGAAATGGCCGGAAGCAAGACTGAAGTCACGGGCGCGCTCAGAGCTACTTGAAGACCTTAGGCCTTAGCCGTCCAATTTTGCACAATTTTGCCTTACTACTGCTTGCTGGAATGTATTCTATCAATAAGAATGCATTATCAAGGACTTAAGTCCAAAATGTCTTACCCTTGCCACTGCTTGCGAGAGAACGCGTTCCTTGCTTGCTACTCCCTTGCCATTGGAGGCCCTTGCGTCTTGACCCCCCCATTGCGTTTCAGAAAAAGCAACGCTCGGTTGCCGGCTGTCACACTCTGTTGCTTCCTACAACTTTCTATTAACACTGTTACATTGCGACATCACGCGCGTCTGGTATTTGACGACACCGGTTTACCGATCTACACCGGTTTAACCGGTTTACCGATTTACACCGGTTTATATACACCGGTTTACCAATTTACACCGGTTTACCAATTCACACCGATTTTTACGCCGGTTTACTTGAGAGCAGTAGATCACTTGAGAGGTAGGTCACTTGGGAGCGTCTACATTACGACCGCATAGGGTTTTACCACCTAGTCTTGACGAGATTCACAGAGGTTCATGTCAAGCACAACCTTTTTCAAGGCTGTTTCCGGAAGAATGTGTTCAAGGGATGCTAGACATGCAAAGGACAAAGCCGACATCACAAACATCCCAAAGGTGTCCTTTTTGAACAATTTTCAGGACAAAAAATACACATGTTTTTGTCCTGAAAAGTGTTCAAAAAGGACACCCGCATTTTCAGCATCACCATGGTGCCAAACCAAGTGGTGCTCAGTGCAAGCCATCAGCGCACATGTTTGCATATAAATCCAGCCGGTGATTGGTGCCTGTTGAAGAATGATAGAACGACTACACACTGCAACTCGTAAACATCTCTAAGCCAGCAAACCTGTAAACCCGCGTAAACCCGTAAACCTGCGTAAACCCGCGTAAACCCGCGTAAACCCGTAAACCCGCGTCACCAAATTCAGACACATTTCCCGCTGCACTGCAATGTTATCTTTTCTTTCCTTCCTTGGACCCTTTGGACCTTTCTCCTTTCTTTTTCTCTTCATTTTCGTCAGGCCTTCAATATCCGTTATCATTAAACAAACATGGAATGTTCTTTTTCCTTCATTTTTCAACATCTTTTTCACCATTTTCTTCCGGTTCTCCGAGGAAGAGATCGCCGAGGAAGAGCAGCGCCGTGCCGCCTTCCTCCACGAGGCCCAGCAGCACCGGAAGACCATGGCGCTCCACGGACCTCTCCGCCGTCCGGGCGCTCCACGGGACGGTCGCTCGCAACTTCCAGGCCGCGGTGCCCTTGCAGCGAAACCACAGAATCTAGACATTCTTAGGAACAAGGTTCGCTACTAGTAACAAGTGCATCGCTTCTAGTAACAAGT